ATCGATAAGCCGACGGTTAACAAACAAATAAAATTTGATTGACGAGTAGTAGGGAATTTCGGTTTTCCTTATACATTGAACATCCTCATTACTGCCCGCAGCTGTCGTATTCCCACGTGAGGTCAATGGCACAGCAGTCAACACGGTTGCCCCATGGAACCGTCGCCGGAGTTCTAGTCCCGGTCGTGGCACTATTGACGAGCTTTAATGTGAGCGAAACTCGAGTCTAGTGCTTCCTTCCGAAACAGACCAACTAGAAAGCCTATAGGAATGCAACAGCTACGATCAACTAACATTCTGACACTAGTGAGGATTACGAAGTCAGTGTCTGGAAGAGGACCGGCGGATAAAGTGTAAGTAACATTCTGAGCGCATATGGTTTGATATGGCTACCTCTTAGGACAATATCATTTGCAAATTTTTCCGAAAGTAAGCTGATAAAAGAAGGCAGTTTCGAAATGTAGGTGGAAAGGAGAAATTGAGACAGAACAACATCTTGTAAAACGCCAGTATAATTTGGTAACAGTGTCGGCATTCGGTTGTTGCCAAATGCAAACTTTCGGCAATTCATGAAGTTGTCCTCGAGTCGATTGAGACACTTACGGTTCACATCGCACGGTACAAAAGCAGATAACCAACAGGGTTGTAAGCCAAGAACTTGACAGACACAGGGGTGTTTCAGTTAACGAATCGACAGGTAGTCTACACTTCAATCACGCAAGTTACCTGAACACCCTTTTACACCTAGTGTCAGTCCTAGAGCGATAGAGCTGTCATTAACAAGTTCGTGTGTGGTAAACGCCGGTTTCATGCTAGATTTCTCTCGGATTCTTATTTCATTGATCCCTGACTCGTTCGATACCACAATAGATGAACTCGCCTTTTGTTTGACACGTGGTTTCACTTGTGAGTAATACTGTACATCTCGAACGCACGAAAAAGAAATAGTGGGTTTTAATGCCAGTCAGACCGGAAGCTAAAAACGACCATCGGAAACATGTATATGGATTGTACAGGACATGTCACCAAAGATACTACAGACGCATTATCGTCATGGTTTTACAAATTCCAATACCTTGTAACGGATGTTTAACAGTAAACACCTTTCCATTCTAGACGATCACAACAAGCCAATTACTAAAGAGTAGTTCACTGTAATGTTTTCTCACATTACGATGTCGAATTTCTTACTTTAACCTTAAAAATACATGCAGGCAACTTTGATTTTGATTCCTTGTGCTGAAATAATAAATTATGTGATTATGGAGGAGGGAATTGACAGTTGAACGAAAGACTCAGTAAGTAAGCCGCTTTTTATCGTTGAGAGACATATCAGCTGACAGCTTTGCAAGAGAATCTTGTCTTACAAAAGAATTGACAAGAAGCATAAAACCTTTTGGTACAGATAAGGAAATGTGATTCGGAGAGCTTTCGAGTCGTATAGTTGTATACTAAAAGAACTTTATGAGAAAAGAGATAAGGGTTTCAACAACGCGAGGAATAGTGAACAGATCGCATATAGTACAGTCGCCCTAACATATCCTAAATATAGAACATTTTACAGTATATTTAAAACACTAAGACCCCTTGATCCAGTTCACCAATAACGATAAAAGACATACGTCGCGAGATTTTAACATTTCATTTACTCTCTTCAGTCACGAACGTAAAACATCAGAATATATAGGACATGCGGATAGCAACAACAATAGAAACAATCAACGATTGGGGTTACATGAAACAAGGACTGATATCAGTTCCAGGGCAGACCAACTGCGTAAGTCAACAGTTTACGCATCCATCCCATCCGTCAAACGTTTACTTCCCACTGTGTAAAAAATTCCTTCGAACAGGTGCAAACTTTACGGAAAGTAGCTGTGAGTCCACATAAAATGTATTCTAACGATGTTGACTCCCTATTCACAAATGTTCCCCTTCGAGGAACAGTTGAATTTTCGTGTGATTTTATTTCCCATCAAAATGTACCTTTTTGTCTTCCAGTTAATTATCTCAAGAAACTCATAGTTTTGTGTACAGAGAATATCCGTTTTGATTTTGCAGGATCATCTTGTAAACGAGTTGATGGTGTAGCAATGGGTAGCTCAATAGACCCAACACTTACAGACGTATTTTTAGGAATGACTGAATTAAAATTGCCAGATGTTACAGATAGTGCCAACCTCTATAAGCGACATATGGATGGATGGATGAGACTCAATTATAAAAAGTCAGCGCTTCGGCTGGATTCGAACCAGCGACGAAAACACCGTGCCACAAAGCGATAAGGGCTCTACCAGCTGAGCTACAAAGTCATGCCAGGAGCTCGGAAATTTCACACCTGGACTCGATTACCCACCCGTCCCACTGTCTCATATGGAATACACCAAATGATCCAGGGGATCGACTGCTGCGGCAGGATTTCTAGAACAGTTCACGCTGGAATCCACCAACGCCACTGTTGAGCATAGAAATTGTATTTATGATTTTAGATGAGACCCAGTTGTGAAAAGTCAGGGCTTCGGCATGATGTTTCTGTCGCTGGTTCGAATCCAACCGAAGCCCTGACTTTCCACAATTGGGTCTCATCTAAAATAATAAATCTGTCAAACTGCTTATTAGTAATACACTATGTAGATGATATTTCGAATTTTACCACTAATATTCATTTTGTTTCACATTTAAACCTTTTTAATTCCGTTCATCCTAATCTTTCTTTTTCTTATGAACAGGAAACAAACAACAATGTATCTTTTCTAGACAGTTCACTCACTAGATAGAAGGATGGCTCACTATAGCGCCCAGCGCACCGCAAGGCCACTTGGAGTGGTCAGTATTTTTCAATTTTCTTCTTTTGCACCAATTACTTATAAACGAGGTCTAGTGCGAACCCTGTTTCCTAGAGCCTGGGGGATCTGCACGGTTGACTACTTGCACGGACAGGAGGAGAGATTAAAGAAAGTGCTGCTTGCAAACGAATATCCTCAGAAGTTCATCGATATTCGCAGCCAGAAAAGACTGATCAAGACTGCTGTGAGTATGGGTTCCTAAGAAGCAGGTCTTTTTGAACCTACATTTCAAAGGCAATCGTATCACAACTGACGTAAGTCCAAAACTACAGTCTCCTCTAACTCGTACATACCCTACAACTGAATTGCGATTGCTACTCACAACTAGGAATGTCGCACAACTTATTCATATTCGTGACCTACCAAAACATTCCGTCTCACATGTAAGCTACCAGTTCACTTGCAGTTGCGGTGACGTCTATATCGGCAGAACAGATCGGTGCCTACCACAAAGAATGGCTGAACATTTGCCTAAGTGGTTGAGTACACACCAGGTGCACCAATCCGAGTAAAGAAGCCGTGTTCAATAAACGTGGGACAGTAAAAGCTAATACATACGTATCATACTGTAGCAAAAAGGCGTCCAATAAAGCACAATCTTTATTGTCCAACACGCTAGTCCACATGCTACGCGCGCGCTCGCGTTTATGAGTCAGAATTCTAGTCCATAATATCCCGAGGTTTCCGCTCACGCGTCGTGTGCACTTCCGCGTGGTTTATGTCGGTGACCGGCGCCTTCTATCCGGGGGTTTTCCACCTGCCAATCTTCGTCCGTTGGTCCGATTCGGTTGAGCGATGGCTCGTCCGGTCGCTCGTGTTGTCCTCCATCTAGCCCCTGTGAGCTTTTACTGTCCTCCACGACCGTGTCGAGATATTCTCCCGAGTGTTGGAATAATCGAGCCTCCGATTTGGTCGTTCATCCTATTTTGCGTGCCATCTCTCGCCCGTTGGTCCGATTCGATCGAGCGATGACTTATCCGATTGCGCCTGTTGTCCGCTATCCGATCGTTGAGGGTTTGTGGACGTGCCTCCCTCCGCGTTGAGGCATTCCGCCGAGCGCTTGAAAACTCGCCCTCCGGCATGACAATCCACCACAATATCACAACAGAAAATCAAACCTATTGATGATGGTGAAAACGTTTACTTGTACTTTTAAAGTCACAGTACACACGCATATGATCACAAGACAAATTCATCTTTTGTAAGCTGTTTCATACCACTACTGACCGAGAGAATGAAAACTTGTTCCTACGTTTGAGGATGCATTTTTATCGATCTGCCACTTCTTCATAACTAGTACAGACCAGGAGAGAACAGACTGTCTAAGTCAAGTTTGAAGTAGATTATCATGCGGCATCTAATCTAGTATCTACGATAAATGACAATTGCAGTGAAACAACCAGTCTATATAATGCCTCAATGTGAACTTGATATCAGTCCACTCATGGTCACCGGACGACTTACACAAATCATATAATAAAAATGATTTTGCGTCAGTGGAATCGTGAATTTTTGCTAGTTAAAATGAGTCGAGTTTTGAGATGAGCGAAAAAAGTGAACGTCACATTTAAAACTAGACACGTGTTCTTTTTGACCCATCCTGCGAATAAGGTCATGGTAACCAGTATGAGAAACTAACATGGTTCCGAGATTTGTACGCGCTCGTCTACGTTCTCGGTCGGTAACCTGTTATCGTCTGAAACTTCAGTTCACAGGAAATCAAAAATCTCGTTTAAGTTTGTTCACGATAGCACAGTAGCATGGTATTCTGTTTGATTAAGTCCCGTGTTATTTACAGTGGTTCGCGCAATGGACAAGCATCCGGAAAGACCGCCAGTACCGTATAGGCCATAAGGACATTCAGTTTGTTCACTGCGAGATTATGACAAACATGAAAACGAAAATACAGTACAACGGGTAAAAACGCGACTGAGATAGGTCAAGAGGCTAAATTTAAATTTTTAGAGGTTGTAGAAAAAGGGCAGCAACAAACGGTTCCACAGACTCTTATCAGGCTGTAAAGAAAGTCACAAAAGTAAAAGATCGACTAGGTATAGGTCAGACTCCATGCTGTTGTCTTGCACTGCCTTTTTGCAGGAGAAACCCTACGGGATACTAACAAAATACAATATGAAATTTCCGAGCTCCTGGCGTGGCTTCGTAGCGCAGCTTACCGCGTTTAGGTATGGTGTTTCTGTCGTTGGTTCGAATCCAGCCGAAGCCCTGACTTTTCACAACTGCGTCTCATCTAAAACTCCAATAGGCTAGGTAAGCAAATTTTTTCCGTCCATCCAGGTCAAGTAGCTGAATCTTCGTAACTTTGGCAGATTTTGGCGGCTGAGTTTTGCTCAACTGTCTTGTATCCTGTAAAGAATATGCTTAAACAGCCATCTGTATTGATATGTCAATTGCTGCCAACCAGAGGAGTCAACGGCATGATGGTGAATTTTATTTCCCCTACCTCGATTCCAGCTAAGCGGTGCTCCATGATTTGTTTAGATAAGTGCTCAGTCAAAAGACCCGTACAGTTTGTCTAAAACCGACAAAAACCGAGTAAGTTAGCATGGATGAATTGTGGGTCGACGCTTCATCCTTTATATTAAGAGTGCTCAACGGACAGTCAGTGAATGAAGTCCGTTTCTCTGTACCGATTATTTCTGAGAACATCTGTGAACAATTCAGCCAAAGTATCACCTTCGAATAAACAACGCATGAGAATGAGTAGCTCCTCAAGTGTTCGGATTTTTAGGATAGCCATTTTCGGTCACAAATCTAACCGCTTGTCGACTTTACGTAAAGTCCAATGTAACTAGTGGTTCTGAGAAATATTGAATGGCATTTTTCTGGTACTATACGTGGGACATTTAGTGAAACTTCATTCATGCTTGAATTCAGTGATAGGCAGAAACCTCTGGTGGTTCATCAGATTAACAACATCCGTCAAGTCAGCGTACATTAAGGTCCCGATGTCCTCCACGGGGTTCCATCGGACCGATCATCATTGGCTTCAAAACAAAATCCAAATTTAAAAGCTAAAAGCAGGAGACAGTAGAGTTGTTTAAATTAAGCGCAACTTAATAAATGGAGAAGAACAGAAACGGTTATGTCACCTTCAACCAACCAGGTTAGTGCATGGTGAACCGTTGTTTAGTTCTGCACATAAAGTTCTTGACTTTTGCAGCCATATGGAATGTTAGTTACTTCTGTTGATTGTTTGACTAATAAACCTCAAAATACTTCTTACACCCACCGAGTCATTGTTCTGCCGCAATGGTAGGGTCTGATTCACTTGTCACTAGCAGTTATGACGTATATTCTTTAGCGTGAGAATTAATGTTTTCGCTTCCCTTCAGCTAATTCTTATCCATATGTAGAATTTTTCCTATTTCTGTTTACTAACGATGCTTCACTTTTGTACGAAAGCGTTTTACTCATCACCTTCACATGTCCTTTAAAGTGATAAAAGTGACTTTGCAATACGATACAAATTTGGTGCGCACCGGTCTGCTCTTCTCTCTGCTGCGCAGTCACCTGGCGATACTACACGGATCTTTCCCAGTTTTTTTTAGCTCCGCTGTACTACGAACATCGTCGCAGCCCCGATCACGTTTCAGCAGCCCACGGCAACTCCGTAATATCCTTACTTTAGGTATATTGGTAACTTGGAATATTGTGGTGGTCATCTTGAACGCTTGTGAACACCTTCTGTGAGTCAAACTCTTTGGTTAACGAATTTTGCTGAAGCCCCGCAACTGTTCTGTTGTGTTCGTTCATTTTGTTGTCACCGACAGCCTAGTGAGGTATGTTTGCACTTACTTAGGCTATTCAGTAACTCGTTTTTGACCATTAAACATATCCAATTATAAGTGACGTTGAACCTAATAAACGAATGTACCGGGTCTTTTCTATCGAATGTTGAAAGTCTCGTGGTCTCTCCAAATTCAATAAATTTGACTTTACAAATTCGATTCAGTGTTTCTGTGAGGAAAAATTTGGCAATTACACTCCCCGAGGACAAAAGAAGCAGAGATATTTCACATTCAAAAATGAAACTAAAGGTTGCCGTCCAGTTTATGTTGATCCCTAACGTTCAGTTGTTTTTGGAGGCCTTGTTTCTGTGTCACAGGTGCGGAAGTCTTGATATGCAGATTACTGATATGTAGCCGTGCATGAGTAACTTCGCTCTCTCTTCTCAGGAGTCGCACATTAGGAAGTGGAGTAGAATCTTCTGTTTCCAGTTTGATTTTTCAACTAGTATCCTGAGATCAACGAACAACGACACACAGAAGCAACATTGACACAGTTTGTAGACAAGCAATTATAATTAGGGTTTACGATATGTCCTTACAAATAGTCTACACGGACGTTAACTCATTTCCTGTTCAAGCGAAATCCAACGCAGTCTTTTGGACCAATGCTTAATGAAACGAGCGATAAAGACCCTCAGTAGACGATGACAGGATACAAGGGGGAAGTGGCGAAAAATTTGACATGGAATCCCTTTCAAGTACTCCAACGATAACGGTTTAGGTGTAGCTCTTTCAGTCACTGTTGACTTAAATCAATAACAGTACGGAATATTTACTTTCCGTGAGTTGTCAAAGGTCTATAAACCGCTTATGAATATTTCGAAATGAGTGTGTCCTGTGTTCATTTATTACTGAGAATCGTTGTTCTATATTCCGGGCGTATCCATTTATCGACAGAATCAAAAACATCATGGTACATTATTGCAAAGTATGCACTAATCCCGTCGAGAAATGCGTTTTTTATTTGGTTAGTGTGAAATCAACCTTTATACCTCGTCGCTTCGCTTTGAAACTTCGCAGAACCCGCATACTTCTTCGTTGGTTTTATTGTTCCTACTGACTTTTCCTAGTCTTTTGGAGAAAGATTTCGAACCTTCGGATAAGATCCTGATTCCTGTCCCAGTGTAGCGGCATTACGAGCACATAATTTACCAATCATTTTTGGTTGGCAACTGAAAACATGTAGGAAGCTTGATAAAGAAATCCTTGAAAGTATCAGTCATACTTTGCCTTCAAACCTATTCCATTTTATAGCCAATCCTGTAACAAGATCCATAAGTAAACTCGCACCAAATGGTTCAATTCTTCAGTGTTTGGGTGGCTAACTAGATATTTAGAGAATTTTTAAGCCACTTCCTTAGAGCTGATTAAAAGTCTGAAAATACAACGCTGTGAACCTTTGGTCTCATCGTCCCGGCCGAAACACCTCATTTCGAGATGCACAGAACAACTTTTTCACTTGACAACGATTAAACCTGAGAGAAATAAGCCAACTGTCAACACTCCTCTTAAAGTTTACGGCAAACTCAAAACCTACATACCCGGGTCACCAGTTAATATGATTTTTATACGAATAATTCGGCCAACCACAGTTGGGCTAGTTGACTGACTGGGCTCGTGCAATCTACAAAGAGACCACCATTACTACAAGGTTTGTTGGTTAGTTTGAATTCGTTCAATCTTTCGGTGGCTTAAACATTTCAGGGTTTGTAGTGGCTGTTTATGACATCTTGTGGTTGTTTACAAATGTACCACTCCTCAGGAAGTAGTAAAGCTACATATAGTAAATACAGATTTTCATATACCAAAAGTTAATGACACTCGCAGTTGATCGAAGCCCTCGCATTGAGAGACTTGGCCGCAACAACATTAATAAATTTTGCAGTCTAAAGTGGATTGATAACTCCTGATCTCTGTATTATCAGGTGGACTTAGCAGAACAATTGTTGGGTCTTCACTCGAGATGATCGGGATACACAAATATTACTCACACGCTAGGGTAGCTGAAATGGTATAACTCACTACTTCTTATCGTGAGGTCATTGACACAGTGATAAACACAGCTGCCTCACACGAATATGCACCGGACTTATAAATCGTGATCGTAGCATTGCACCGCCGACGAGTTCTAAAAAGAACAAGACTCGACTGCATCGCTTCCTTTCAAAGCGGCGAGACGAAATTCTATCTACACTTGAAAGCCGTGGTCAACGGTGAGTGATATCCAATTTACAGCATAAAAAACACTGACGTACACTGAACAAAAAGTTAAACGCAGATGAACTATTCTTAAGCCTGGAAACCTAGCAGTCGAGTGTTTCTGTAGTTCAACAAAGTTTTTCTCACTCCATCCCACCCCAATAATCTCAACCCAAGTCATGAACTTTGGGCTAACATGACTTAGGAACTCATTCCAAAACAGCAGAAACGTCGTCTGCTTGTCGATACTACAACTAGTTAGTTTATGATCCTCACGGTCCCAATAATGTGTTTCCTGATGATAGGTCCTCTATATGAAAGACGGTCCAGTCACCAAACCATTTTGGACAAACCAAATGCAAAATTAGTAATGGCTACACAGGTAATCATAACCAAGTGGTCAGAACCGTGGTTCGATGGATGTGCGGCATTTCTTTTAACAACACTAAAGCTGCTTGAGGACTATGTCCGATGTTTCGAAGAGCATCGGAAGTTGCGATGCTTCTATAGCCCTCTGTGTTCTACGGCTTTTGTTTAAATCATTCACCTACCTCGTTTTACTAAGCCGAGTAAACAGTACCCAATCCTAGGATGACACCGTCGGTTCACAACCGGTTGAAAAGATGTGTTGTTTCTTCAGCAACGAACTTGAATTTCTACCACCAGATAGTCCAGCCGCACTTGTTCATTTGTTTTCAATTATGCACACATCAACACTGATGTTCTCATCTGTCTACGAAACTAGCCGGTCAACTCAGAGCAGTCATACATTCGAGTCTTCACCCAATCCGTTGCCTGCACTGTCGGTTGATGGTACGATAGTCAGTGACACTGCTGTTCCCCGATCGACAAAAGAGTTGTTTGAATCGGTAGTGTAAGCCTAGACTTTTCGTTGTTACCTTCCAGTCGCGGCTGATAGGTCTTGTAGTTCTATGGGCCTGCGAACGTATGACCGCACCGGCAAAGTGCGAAGTCCCGGACACACCGTACGCCACATGCTCTACTAATTCGTTGCACTGTTATGCACACTGCACTCGCTTTTTTGTATTGATCACCTAAGTGACTTTTGTCAAGTACCGACGAATCTCCTATTCTCAACAGTCTACACGCATCCTACAGCTTTAGTTGATTGGACGCGATGCAACAAACGCCTTCTGCGGTTGAACACATTTGGTATAATGTTGACCCTGAAAAGGATAGTGTTGTTTTCGTAAAC